TCTGTGTTGTTTATCTGAAGGACTGAGAAACAAAGAGGTGCAGGTGGAAGGCTAAGGATTTCCAATGAGGCACAGGAAGCAGCAGTTACAAACTGGGTTTTGGCAAACAATGCTATCACATAAAACATAGTAACTATGTGCTGAGATGCATGTTGCACAATGTTATTTTTGAATAAAATAGGATTTCTTTCAACAACTCATTTGTATTTCTTCATTTACTGTATTTCTGTGTACTCAAGCAATCTTTCTCTGCAGAAACCTCTATGTACAGCAGGGGTGTCAAACTCAATTTCAACTCGAGCCTCATTAGCATCATGGTTGCACTCAAAGGGCCAGTTTTATATATAAGATTATATAAGAATAAATATATAAATATTTAATATATATAAAATCATTTATTATATAACATTATTTCCTCTTCATTGGATTATTATCGGATAGGTTAATCACTTCATAATTAACTACGTCTGAAAGCAGAAGTCTAGGGCAAACAATTGCAAGTCTCTTCAGTGTGCATGTCACAAAATGATTTAAAAAGAAAAGCCAAATTCTGGAAAAACTACAAAAAATAAGTGAAATTCTGAAAAAAAAGTCATATTTGAGATGCATTGTGGGACATGTAGTTTATCGGCAATGTGCTTCTGTAAAGCGGCATGTAACCGTATGATAAACATATTATATTCTTTGCTCTTGTGGGGCCACATGAAATGAAGTCTCGGGCCGGATTTGGCCCCCGGGTCTTGAGTTTGACACCCCTGATGTACAGAGATAGCCCATAACAGATGAAAGTGCTTTAGATTATGCTCAGCAGTGTGTAGTTGGGTGGTCAAACCATCTAGTATTATGAATGAAGTGTGTTATGTTTGGTGCTAAAGTTTGCATTTGGTAAGTGTTTATAGTTTTGAGAGCAGTTTTTCATTTAGCAGGAGAAATTAGGTGTTTTGCACTTTGGGTGTGTGGTTTTGTGAATTGTGTTTAGTGTTCTGATAAACTGAGCAATTAAAAAAAAAATGTGTGTTAGCAATCGAGAAAAACTGTAAAACAGTACATCTGAGCTGCATCAACAAACCCGTTTTTATGTATCTTCTTTAAAAGTCTCTGATCCCTCTCGATCTGCTCAAGTTAGAACAGTTTTATGTTTATTTTCAATTTCTTCTTTTTTTTCTCTGACATACAAACTAGTTTAGAAAAGGTAAGAATGGAGGACAGGGTAAAGTCAATAAAATGAAACCAACCCAAATGTATTCAAAAACATTGAATGTCACAATACCGACAAATACTTCAAGATACAGGGGCCTATACAGTCATTATTGCTGGAAGTGTTATGAATAATATGTTTCAGTTTTTACCAATGTTGGTGTATTATGGTAATGTTTTTAGTGATATTTTGTTATAATTGTTTGTTAAAACATATTGTATGCACAATGTCACTAAATATGATTAACTATTTTTAGCCACAGCATTATCTGTATGATATCATGAAAGATGTACATGTGAAGTGTCATGCAATGTTTCTTAATATAATCTGAGCATATTAAAACAAAGGCAAAACTAAAACACTTTGTTTAATCTCACCTCCTCCACACACATTGAGCTCTTTTGGCTGGCCGCCCCTGACGGGTTGCCATGGCAGCCACCACATGGCTGCTGAGAGAGAGCGAGAGGGGCTCGCCCCCGGCAACAAAATCACTGATGCTGGAGTTTGTGACAATTACTCAGGCAGCACCAGGATGTTGTTGCAGGGAGAGGCCAGCAGGGGGCACACAGTGCATTCAGTTTTCTTTCTTGAGCAGAAACATACAGGGCGATGGAGGTAAATAGAGCTGGAGTGACTGGCAAACTGCACCTGTGTATGAAGTTGTATTTGTGGAGTTGCAGTAGCCCCGAGGCAATGTCACATGCCAGTCGCTGGAGGATCAAAGGGTCAGGAGTCTCAGAGTCAGCCACCCGACAACTGCGAAGGTAGCTCTTCAGATCACCCTAAGGGGAGAAAGGAAATGAGGATACATTAAACAACAATGAACCTAGAAAGAAAGTAATGACGCTTGCAGAACTAACTGCATAAACACATTTTATATATTTAAAAATGTCCCACCAGAACGCAGAACTCCATGACCAGCAGATAAGGAGTGACCTCCGAGCACTGAGCCAGGCACTGCAGGAGGGCCGAGTGCTGCAGGGTTCTGGCAGAGGAAACATAACATGAGAGGGTATACATTTACACAGACTGTACATACATAAAGAAAACAATCATTCAGTTACTTCTTAATGCTGCATGGTGCTACTCATTAAACTGAAGGGCTGTGATTTTAGGTGAACTGACCGGTATGGCTGCACCTCCTCCAGGAACTGCATCTGATCCTGGACGCTGGCACTGGCCTTCAGCTCCTTCACCACCACCTGGGTGGTGCTAAGGCCCGCATTGACCTCACCTAACAGAACCTAAGAAGTAAAATACTTTTTTTTACCCAACTCTATCAATAAATAGCAGGGTTTACGACAAACAGAATCAACATGCATGTATAGAGTTAGAGAAACAAACAAACAAGCAGAATGAAAATAGTGCATGAGCAATATATAAGTAGTGTTACAGCCCCATTTACTATAAAACAATGTGTCCGGAATTGACTGTGACTGTGAGTTTCAGCTTCTCTCTCTAACTCAAGTGCCAAAGATTAGCTTCGCTAGAATGAGATCATCACCACATTACCCTCGCATTCTTCAATGAGTAGAAAGCACATTCAAGTACAGTGAATACAGTAACAAGGAGGCAATTAAAACAATTAAAGCAACTACTAACAAATACAAGGTGTCTTTTCTGCACCCGAGTCCACTTTGTGATTGTGTGTATGTTTAGGGGGGGAGTAATCCTGTTTACCTTGCCAAACCAGCCATGTCCAATCTCCTTTAGATAGAGTAGACTATGGCGGCCGAGGTCTGATGATTTCAGCAGCTGGACTGTAAAGGAACAGTAAGAAAGACATAGGATTACTCAAAAAAGACACTGTTGTAGTGATTAAGAAGTGATAAAGAAAAAGCAAAGGTTTACAATAATCTCAGTCAAAAAAGAAAAATAGAAGTTAATGATTTGAACAGAAATGGACAGGACAGGGAAGCAACACTGACAGAGATCAGAATAAATAGAAGCTCCTCTCAGCCAGATAATAAACGCACATTTTCCTAAATAAAAAGTGCCATCACCTAAACAGGAGAATAAGCCATAACAAGAAGAAGTCGACAATTTGTGCATGAGATTCAAATACCTCCATGGATCTTCATTGTTTAAGAAGGTAGATGATTGTGTGGAGAGAAAAGATGGTGGCGGAGCAGTGGAGCGGCCAGCCACTCCGAGCACCGTGACAGGGACTGAGTCCGGCTCCCATGCAGGTTAAAGTACTGGTTCAGAGTGTGAGAACCGAGAGCCCGTGGCCCCAGCCCTAACCCCAGGCTTCTTGGTCTCATTGTGTGTATTTGAGAAAGACCCCACGATCTCAGTGTGTGTGTGAGAGAGTCTCGGCAGGATTTAACCCTCCGAGCCCTCGCACAGCTGAACAAGCTCGCCACGCCGCCTCTCCCAGTCTGTCCCGAGCTCATCCTCCAACTGGGACACACAAAAACACACATACTGTCCTCTTCTGGAGCTCTCCAGCTGTCGAGCAAACACCGAAATCCTTGGTTTCCAGACTTCCCTTCAATATACAGTAATCGTAGCGAGATAGAAACAGCTTGGAGTCAGCCGACTAATCTGCCACCTGTTCCCCGCAGGAGGATTTCTGCCCTGGGGGCTATATTTCTCTGAGACTCTGGTCAAGTATCACGGCTGGTGTGACCGTCACGCATGTTGGTAGCGTGCAGACTGATGCGCCAGCTCTGCGTGCAGCTTCAAGAACCCTGGTAGGGACATAAGGCCAACATAATGCCCCCCTGTCACCCAGGACAGCAGCATTCCTCAGCCAAACAGGACACAAACCCTGCTCTGTCAGATGCAGAAAAGACCTCTGTCATGCACACTCGCCACCCCTATCTCAAGCGTCCCCTCCCCACTCTTAGGGTCCTGGTGCATGCCACCACCCTTCCCCTGTCTCTCCTCATTCTGTCACAGACCCCTCACTGTATTCTGCCCATAATGCCAGTCCTCCACTGGTGCGTTCCACGGACATTTCAGCCCAGCCTTATGCTCACCCACTGCCCAGCCGGCCTAAATCGGGGCCATTGTTCGGCTCGCTCACTCACACGCTCATGCAGCGTCTCCTGGTACCCAGTGGACACAACACACACACACGCTGATGAGCAGACACACACAAGGCCCATTCTCCACGAGAACGTTGGGCAGAGGTTGTCACGGTGATAACAGAGACACACTTCTCCACCAGCCCTCCCTGTCAGAGAAGTTCGAAAGTGAAATTATTCCGAATGTGGAATGTGTGAGCGTGAGTGTGCATTCCCCTCCTCCTCATGGCCTTCCCAGAGAAGAGGCTGGGGTCCCGTGAGACTGTGGGATCAGTGGGCCCGTGGAATGATACACACACAACCGCTTCACACACACTCGATGCATCGAGCCTCTGTCGTGGGTTTGAAGGCTTTACACCACCTCTTGAATAAAAGATTAGACCAACAAGTTAAACGCGAGACTGTCCGACGATCAATGGCAAACATTGTAACGTGTGTTCATACAGACGTAGAAGTGTGATATAGAATACGCTATTCATGGTGAGAGTATAAACCATATAACTTGTGTTTCTGTTAAAGAGGCCATTACTAGTCTCATTTGCTTCGTGTATATCACTGTGGGGGTTGATCATTTAAACATGTGCATGACGTTATTATCAATCTAAGCCTGCTCAGTTTTTGACCTGCAGCTTATATGTGTAATACTTTTGAAGTGTGATACCATTCCTACAATCCTCTCAATTGTTTAGCATAATTATGACCATTTTGCAAAAGTTAAGAAATTGGAATGCTGTTAAAATTTCTAAATTCATCAAACTTTCAGTGGTCAATATGTAAAAGTGTCAAATAAAAATAATACCATGTTTTCTGTATGTACTTAAGGAAGGGAATGAGTAAGAGCCCATTCTCTGTGACTCAGTGAAAGGAAACATTATCCCTCGTTTTACATCTCGTCTCCTTTGCTGTCTATCCATTCCTCGCCCTGCAACACCTGCTCCAATCATACAGCGGTAGCTATGGAGGCTGGTGATTGGCTGCACGCCTAAGGCTGCCTGGTCCAATCATTGCTGAGGCTTACATTCTGGGATGCTGAGCCCCAACTCACCTCCCTTCTGACTAGGCACGGCTCAGCTCAGACAGCCAGTGAGTCATGCAGGGAGAGGCACCCAGGATCTGGCTAATACTGAGATTCACACGCAATGTACATGCATACACATTTTAACAGGCTGGGTTTCAGACAGAATGACCTGCAGAAAAGAAAAAAAAAGGCTGTGACATGAGGCTGAGGAGGATCATGGATGTAGAAATAAACACACCAAAATAACATGTGCTGACATAAGATTATGTAAGATTCAAGTAAAACAGAGTTACATGTAAATGAAATGTACAGTAGCATGCACTGACATAATGTACACCGAGGTAAAGTCAGATTCCTTCCTCTCCAGTTTCTCATACACTGATTTCGAAATGCATTTTAAAATGGGCCGATGTCTGTCCCTCGTTAAGAGAGGGCAAGAAGAAAGAAGAGATAGAATCCAACATACTTCATTAAAGAGGCCATGTCTGTTCCAGCTACAGTAAGGTAGACAAAAGGTTCCTAGTTTTGTGTCATGCTGTAGAGAAGTAACAAGCTGTTTTAATGGCCTGTTAGTGTGGCAGCTCTTTCTAAAGAGCTAAGAAGGAATAATGATATACGCATTGCAGGAAGCAAAAGCTGAACAGTAAATCAGATCATTAAAAGAGCGAGCGGATATAACTTAAAGGTGTTATGAGTTGATAGTGTTGTGCAGCTTCTTACTGGATCTGCCAGGCTGTTTGGAGACAGGCAGGGAGACCTCGGTGAGGGGAAGGATGTAGACCTCGGGGCCATTCTGGGAGGAAGGCGAAGCCAGGGAGAGATCTGCCTGGTACTCCTCTCCCTCAGTGTTTTCAAACTCCTGTTGCAAAGACACATGCTGAAATTAGTCATCCACTCGCAGCCATCCTACCACTGACATGGTGGGAGACAATGGCTCAACTGTAAGGGCATTCAAATGCACTGGGGCTCGCCCACCAAGCTATATGCATAAGTCATGTACGTTGTGGGGTGTATTGTGTGGGTCACAACAAAGACGCTGTAGGGGGAACACACTAATGTGCGTGTTTAGACTGGCATGGCCACAAAGAACATCTTTTTTTCCTTCTGTCTTTTATTTCTTCCTTCCATTCAATCACCTATACAAAGCAAAGTTTATATCATTAAAGAATGTCAAACTGAGTCTTAAACACGTTAAACCTAAAAAAAGGTTATACACTTCAAATGCTCTTAGTGAAAAAACATGAATTCATACATTTGTGCTTGCTAACGGTTGTAACATGTCACGACAGAAACGGCCATAGAGTACATATTAAAAGTGCTAACACACCAGATTGTAAGATGGAGACATATTTGATACTTTGCACTTTGATAGCAAATACATCTTTAAAAACGTTTTGCATAGTGCTTGATGTTGTTTTTTTCCTCCTGTACATGTAGCTTAACAAAATGATCTGTCCCACTAACCAAAGCGGCTATTATTTAGTGCTTTGAACATAGATCCAACAAAAAGGCAGAATATCGAAAGGCACACACGAAAGGATTTTATTCGTATTTAAACAGTACACAATACAAATAGCATAATCTGCAGCATGAAGTAGATCACCATGTAGATTATTGCCAGGGTGAATGAGTAAACAATTTCATGAGCTCATATGAGACCTTAAGAGTCTTACATGTTTAACTTTTAACTAGAGAGGACCTTTTGTTCAGCAGATGCGCTGGTTACAGGGTGAACCCAAATCCTTGAAGTTTAATTAACTCCAGTCACTGGGCTGTGAGTAGTTGGATTGAAATGTGTTTATTGAGATGCCAGTTTTTCTGGGTTTTTTCTTACGTGTATCTGCAGAAACAACAACCAAAGATTCTGCATTGAGCAGATTTCATTTGCTACCACTGTCTAACATTATAACGTCAGACATGCACTAAATATGGCCCCACACATCTATATAGTCAATATATTAGAGATGTTTTTCGAATAGATGGGCACAGAGGATCAAATGATGGATACAAACAATTGAACCACAAACGTTTTAAAAATCTATTTGCATTTCTAATAGAAAGAAACCCCCACATCTTTCAGGTCAACCTAGTTGGCTATGCTGGGGGACAAGTCTGGTAAAAGTGCTCTGTTTACAATCCGTCCGTTGGTTATTAATGAACTGTTACCCACAACAAGCCTATCTCCCACTTGCAGTACCCACAGAGTTAAACAAAGAAGTAAACAGTTCTGTAAAATGTGGGTAGCTGGATGGAATATATAACATATTTGAATGGCTCCTTGTGTGGGTGTGTGTGTATATTTATATGTACAGGTGTTCACAAGTGTGTGAGTGTGTGCGTGTGTGTGTGTGTGTGTGTGTGTGTGTGTGTGTGTGTGTGTGTGTGTGTGTTTGTTTGTGTGTTTCAAGAGAACCATCTGCCACTCTCCTCAGAGCAAAGTGTGAAAGCGAGCACCTGGCTGTGAGTCAGCATTGCATAGCTCCCCAGAGAGCCTTCAGTTTAGAAAGCACTTAATACCCAGCCTCACACTACGCGCTCCATAGTAAGAGCACCGTGATGGAGAGGAATAATGAAGCTTTTTGGACAGCGCAGCGGTGCAGTCTTGCAGTCCCACATGAATGCACACTATACAAGTGAGATGTTGAATGACAAGCGGATGCCAAAAAGAAAGGAAGCAAGATGTGATGTTTGCTGCCAGACTTAGAGCGCAAGATGAAGATTTGATTGTCTGTTTTGTCTGCAATTATTATAAGCTATGATCAAAACAACAAGCATATGTTGTGTTTACACAAATCACAACTTGTGGTTTCTACCATATTTGCTTAATCCATTTAAATATGAATATTTGACACTTTAATTGACTGAGATCTGAAAGTTGTGCTCATCTGACAGAAGATGTATTGTTAGCATCAGTTACAATATGTTTCCTTGTGAATGTTATCCTTTCATTGTCTTTTTCTCAAATGTTTAACACAGAATCTATTATGTTACGAAAGACCCACAGCTATGAGATAGTCCCCTCTCAGTCAAGCTTCACGTGAATACACAGGGACTAACTGCGCTCAAATTATTGCTGTTGTTCTCCACCTACAGTAAAGGCACCTCTAACAGCAGCCATTTTGACTCCGGTGAAGTTAATATATTTAATCATGGTCCCATTCTATTTAGTGTATCGCCTCCACTCCAGTGAGCGAGCATGCACAATACCAAGACCGTGGCTAATCGAAATGAAACAGGACCACAGTTATTTTATTGATTACACCTGTGTTACCACATATGAAAAGCACCTATTTATTTGTTCAGCTGCATAACCTTAATAAGAAAAGATAGTTGGCTAACAGATCAAAAGGAAATGCGTTGGCCATCCTTTGTCTAATGATTTTAATAGTGCCCTCACAATAGGTAACCTTATATCTGTGTGATAAATACAAAGCCCAGCACCGTTTTAGCAACAGTGTCACCCTGAACTCTCAGTGTAAGACGATACCCCTGCCTGCAGGAATCAATAGTGTCACATTGATATTTTAAACGGGCTCATGGTGGTGCTTTGGTTGAATGACTGCAGTTTAAGCAGCTAGATATTGCTGTTTTGCAGCTAGAGCCATCTTCTTTTCATTATTTATTTCTCAGTAAAAAGCACTGTTCCTGCAGGTTATTAAAACATACTTTTACATAATGAGGCAGAGGCAATCTGGCATATGACAGAGGGACGTGGACACACGCGATACACACAGACGAGAACAATCGGGAAGTTGTTAATGGTTCCTCTCTGTGCTGCGCTCTTTAGTCTCTCTGTCATCACTGCAGCATTAATATACTACAGCCTGAATGCCGATGCACAGACCTGATATCATCCAGAACCAAACTGCTCTGTTCTCACCATCTCTCCTTTCCTCTCCTCTGCTCTCTGCAGCTCTAATCAACAACAACAACAACAGAAATACGCACTTTTCATTCCTTCTAACACTAGCACCGCAATTCCTTTCATGAATTACTGAATCATTTGCACAAGTGATCTTCACAGAAGGCTGTTCAGTCAAGGCTGTAATTTATCCATTCTCCAGACAAGATACAAACATTAAAATGCAATACCAAAATGAAAAATGTGCTTCAATGCTAATGCCATAATGTGAGAAGAAGTAAACTTGTAAAGAAAAGGAGCAGTACAACGAATCAAGGTTGTTTCCTCTCTCTCTCTGTGTCTCTCTCTCTGTGTCTCTCTCTCTCTGTCTCTCTCTCTCTCTCTCTCTCTCTCTCTCTCTCTCTCTCTCTCTCTCTCTCTCTCTCTCTCTCTCTCTCCCCATACGCCCCCTGCCTGTGTCAGTCTCTGTTAACCCTCATCAGTCACTCAGCACTCATGTTTGACACAGCATGGCTGACTAATGGTGGCAGCTGAATGCAACACAGAGACAAAGTGTGCCAGCCTGGGATGGGATGGGTACTTGGTTGCACCACTCGCATACAATGAGGCAATGGTCAGACAACAGAACATAGGGCAACAAATGACTAACTAAATATTAAATATGTTTGAGTTTTGGATTGTTGGAGACAAAACCAAAATGATCTTCAGGGCCATACTTTGTGTCAAACTCATTCTCACTTGGTGGCAGACTTAAATGGCGTTGAATGGCAATTAAATATGTATGGCTTTTAAATATTTGATCCTTGTCTGTACAGTGTGTGTCAATATTATTCCAAACATTTAATACATTTAACGTGTATGTCCTTTTTCAGTTGTTTCCACTGTAAACACTGAGCAGGCGCCATGGTGCACACACTGTTTGTGCTCTCCTCACCACCTCCAGCAGGGGGCAGCAGGTAGCTCACCTTGAAGCCAATGTCGCCCTTCTTGCAGCAGAGGCAGGCCAGCATGAGGAAGACGAAGGTGAAGAGGCCAGAGAAGGAGACAGCTACAACGGCCAGAGATGAAGGCCACGACAGCTCGCTCAGCGGAGCCCCATCTGCAACATGGGAGGATAATGCCACATTTAAAATAGTGAAGGAGATCCAATAACAATCTGTGGAGTCACACAGGAAATGAAAAGCTAAACAGAGATAAAGGTGATTTGTATGCACACAGATGATTTGTGACCGTTTCATTGGCAGCTTGAATAAAGATGGATGCGACTCATAATCATTCTCTTCTGCTTTCTATTCATCGCTACAATCTGTGACTGAATAGGATTCTGCTTTCTGTAGTTTGAAAACAGTATTCACCATGAAAACTGACTCGTGGAGGTAGAACGGTTCATACCACCCACAAACACCTCGACTCCCTCTGGATAATCATTTAATAAAGCAGCAGACCAGGTGTCATTACTCAGTCTGCTCAATGTAAACAACTGATCAATGAAAACTCTCACTGGGTGTGTATAATTTGCTTTTCATTTTCTGAAATGCCCCACAACATTGGCTTCTGAGCTACAATTCTCGATGCGCTCAGCGCTCTTAAATCCCAGCACATATTGAGACGTAGATACATGTACTTTTTTTGTGGGCCTGCAACCAATAAACAGAGAGAACACACAATCTCCTACTTATTTTTACATTTTGCAAGTTATTTACCATCTGTTTTGTCTTCCTGTGTGCATATGTGCCGCACACATGTGTCAGTTTAACTTTAAGCCTCTAGTAGCTGAGGAAATCCATATTATCTGATTTACAGTTTTCAAACTCCTGCCAGAACACATGAGAGAGAAGAGAGGAAGAAGGAAAGAGAGAGAAAGAAAGCAAGAGATGGAAACTGGATTGGAACACATTCATCCCCCAACGCTCCAATGCATCACACTCAAATCCTCTAATGTAGTATCCATCTCATAGGACGCCTCTACAGGGAATCATGCTCACACTGTAGCTATATCTGACCCTGAGTCATATTTAATGTCTTAATAAGCTAATGGAGCATGGATTCTCTCATTTGCCTTTATGTTTCATTTAGGGTCCCGTTATTTTTAACTAATAGTCCCTTCAAACGTTTTAACTAGTCATGTTCAATCAGGAGCAATGAACGCCTTAGATTCTCTTCACGATGCAGGTTCATATCTGTGAAACTCATGACCACTGTTTGAAACGCAGACTGTGTGTAAAAAGGACGATGGAAATAACCCTGGTGACATCACTTTGCCATAGAATAAATCGTACAACTCTTCCCAGAAGTAAATCAATCTTTGTGTTTAACCGTTGAATCATTATTAATACATTATGGTTATTTATCTTATTTGCTCCACTTTGTGGTTATTTCCCCAAAAGTAGCTAAAATAAATCTTTAATAAATGTGTTGGTTGTTAGGAATTCCTGGTTAACAAACAGCAATTACATGATTTCTTTTTTTTACCATGTTGTTAAATAAAGTTGTATTGTTGCGAGTTCTCAATCTGTGAGGTTTTTCTCACAACGTGAATTGTTGAAGAATTAGAATCTGAAAAATGTTGAACTCCTCTTTCATGGTAAGCACAATGCCGACCCAAACCTAACTATCCAACCAAAATCTGTCACAACTCTCCCATCTGTCAACATAACTTCTTTGGAAATGCCAATGTGACAGGCCTGCAGTTAGCCATGTTTACTCTCTTTGTCCATGTGTTGTAAAACCGTTTATCAGAAAAGGAAAAGGATTGATATTTGTCATCATTCCGGGATTCCTTTAATTTCCCTATTCTTGAATGGACAACACCATCATGACACCTCTGTGTCTATTGGGTCAACTCGGCCTATTGGTATGTGATGCTTGTGTGTGCATGTTGTTTCAGCTCAGAGAGGGAGACTCAGCAGTCCTGACCCAGTTGGCTGAGGGGAACAGGCTGTTCCAGAGCCGACAGCTCCTGTGGCCCATGCAGCACCGCTCCAGCTGAAGGTTGACCCGGAGGTCACAGCCACAGAGCACTGCACTCATACTTGCACATGCAGACACGCACACACAACTGCAGACCCTTTTCCCCTCATATCCTCTGGATATTTTTAATGCCACAGGGACCACAGTTTAATTGCCAAAAAATATACTATTGTAGCATATTTCTGCAGCTTCCTCATTACTATAGCAAGCCTTCTATTTAAATGGGCCCACATCAAAGGCAAAATAAATATGCATATTAAAATGTAAGAGCTTCTTTTCATCTGCATATTAAATAACACAGCTTATTTTAATCATTTATAACCTTGTTTTCTCTTTCTGAAATAAATGCTGGTAGTAAGTGTGTTGTTGGCATTTTGCTCGACGACGTATATTAGTTGATTACTTGCAGTTTACGGCGCAGTAAACCTCATGTCCCCTATTTATTTCCTCACTCTTGGAAATAACAGTGAGGCACATTTTTTCTGGTGCCTTGTATACTGGCTATCTCTCCCCTCTACAGTATATCGCTGTATCATGTTGTGAAAGATTCTGTGTAAGTCTGTGTGTGTTTCTGAAGTGAAAAATAGGGCGAGCTAATCGAGCAGGGCCCTTTCAGGATTCACCACAGACCGCAACACACAAGTCTGAGTAGATGGTGACACAACACATTGTGTTGAGGCTGACAGGAGAAACAGGGCTGAGTATTAAATATTTAAAGAATGAAAACCATCTATAATGTACATGACTTATTCCTCTGGCATTATGCAGCCAAACGACCGTTTTCATTTGAAGGACATTTAGCACTTCAAACTGGTATTAGCAATTCAGTAGAAGGTGTTTAGCATGTTTTATCTTAGGGGAACCGTACAATGACATGTTTGGTCATTGGAAATGGAATGGATGAATGGATGTTAGACAGGGATGACATATGCTAAGAGATTATGGAATTAAGGTAAAAAAAGGACACAACAAAAAATACACATAGAAATACAGTACAATACAGCAGTTTGTGCTCTGGTTACTGATTCCATCTTTTGCACACCATGTTTAAATCCTAGGCAATGAGCTGGAAATATTGATTTTAATTGCATCTTTTTATAATAATGTTTAATGCAACAATGCAACCACCTGACAATTGTCGAGCCTATAAGCACTGATGAAGCAGCCAAGTGCAGAACAGAGGGTAAACTTCACCTTTTCACAGATAATGAAGTAATAACTGACATTTGCATCCACTCTCCATTTGTTTTGTAAGTCAAATGACTGGGGCCCCTGTAAAGTAGTTAGAGCAGCCCATGTGTCTTCTACATGTGGAACAAGAACTGTGTTTGCATTCATAAAACCACAGCTGAGTCACAGCAGTGCCATGCAAATGAATAGGGGGCTGTGTTTTTTCATGCAGTGCAGTTGTCTTTCTGAACAGGACCTGCAATCTGAAACCATTGCTCTCATCTGGATACAAATAAGAGAACGCTCAATCTGCTTCAGTTACTTTTGAGTTGGATTATTACTTAAAGGACAAATAAAAGGATGACTTTTGAATCAAGGTTGACAGGCACCACACACGCATTTCCAAGAGCGTGACGGAACTCTGGGACCGAATGATCGTGGTGAATATGCCCCAAGACTTGGAGAAAGTTGCAAATGCAGATTATGTGTGCTTCTTTTCTCATAGTTTTAGAAACATGACCGGGAAAACCTTTTTTAAAAAACAGATGGATAGATGATGCACTAAATTCCTCACCCCCAATTGTCAGTTAACCTATGCTTCCCCTGTACTGGTGCAGCTTGAATCATAACCATTTTTGTGCAGAGTCTTCGCTTCACCAGACCTTTAAAACGTTTTTATTTGCCACAGAAAACCTAATTATGATCATCCCGTAAAAACACCAGTGTCGCACAATCTTCACAAGTGCGACATTTGAAGAATCCATCGTCCACTCCTTTGAGAAGAACTGTGAGTGAGCGGTCGCTCTGGGTCCTCCATAAATATTTGAGAAGCACACACATTACTTAACCAGCTGCACAGCGAAATGAAAATAAAGCACTTAAATCCAGGCTCAAACCCGCTTTATTAAAAAGCTGTCTTCAGGACTAGAGGAAGATGAGCCATGTCCTCACAAACGGGGAGGGGAGGGCTGCGATGGGGGCAGCCTGCCACCTCCACAATTCAGCCTGCCGCAGGAGAGGAGGCAGTAGAATGACAGGAGGGAGGAAGAGAGGAAACATTAGTTGGTGTAGGCAGGGTGAATGAATGCGGAGGCCAACACTGTTGCATTGTATCTACCAAAACTGATCAATACAAGGCTTGCTTCATTAAGTGTGACCTTCCATGCTGTCAGATTACAGCCACACCATGTAATAAAATGCTGAATGGGGATGGACAATTCAAGTCATCAATTACTTAGAGAAAGAATAAGTGGTGTCTCTTGCAGTCACAGAGCAAGAGCTAATATATTTTAAACATGCAACTAAGTAATAGCTTTAAAAATCCAACAGCTATTATAGTGGTGTAGTGTAGAGTGAGAGAGAAATAAAGGCATGTAGAGATAGGGGCCCATGGAGGAAGCAGGAATGCTCAATGTTATGGTGTGTTTGTGTGTGTGTGTGTGTGTGTGTGTGTGTGTGTGTGTGTGTGTGTGTGTGTGTGTGTGTGTGTCCATGCGTGTACAAGATAAGAATAGTGTTGTGTTAAGCACAGCCACTGAGCTTTTCATGGTAGATCGTAAATAAAGCATGCAGCAGTGAGGTCGGGCTTTCTGTTGCTGTGCAGCTGCAGCGGGCAGCTTAAGAATTTGAACGTCAGGTCTACAGCTGCTGGGATATTTACTACCTCCTATAGGCCTACACGATAGAGCTCATCGTACATTCAACAAATCTGTTCCAAATGGATACGTATAGGAGAGGGAGTGAGGACAAACAGTGCAAGGAAGGCTCCAGAGAGAACAAAATGGATTTTAATCAAGGTAGAGTTGCAGGATAAAGCTTCCCACACTTATCAAAGGCCAGGGCCGTGCTTTGTGTTTGCATTCACAAACGAGCACAAGAACATGAACCCGCACAGAAAGCCCAGTCAAAGTGTTGCACTTGGCTAACTTTTGTTTTTTTGTTGAAACTGAGAGCAGTGGG